GTTGTATTTAGGATTCTAAGTGTTGCCTCAAGGCTCGATAAGACGATACACGAATAGAAAACTGAAGTACTTTGTGACAGCGGACATATAAAACTCCATTTTGACCTCTGGCACAGTCTCAGGAAGTGGAAGCCATCTGCTGTGACCAGTTGGGATTGAGGAGAAACGGGGCACATAGGGAGACAGGACACAACACAGACTGCAAGCGTGAAGACAACAATGTAATGACACATTGCAACAGTGTATAAACACATGGGAAGAGCTTTGTGTATCTCACAAAAGTCCTGAGCCTACTGCAGCATTGCTAAGGGATGGTGCAGGATCACCTCATCCATCCTTAACTTTAAGTTTTCATCAAAAAGGAAGCTTTGAGTCTAACCTTAATAGTAAAGGGAGTATTTGTCTGCTAAATCCAAACTGTAAGCTAGTTCCTCAGGAGAGGGGTCTAGATCTGCCCCCTATCTTACTTTTAGAAGCCTTGAGGGGAAGGATTTTCAATTCAACTCAGTTCAATAAAACTTTATTGATCCTGAAGGTTGACCTGAAGGTTGACCCGAAGGAAATTAGGTTAAGGCTGCTGACCTTTTGCCAGTGCCATCTTACCCTTCCGACCATACATACATTACACAATATCAACATAAACTAAATTTGACAAAGGTCTTGGAGGTAATACTCCAAGATGTTAGAAGAAAACGGCAGTCCTTGTAATGAAGAGGCGACGGTCACTTATTTAAATATTCACCTCATTTACTAAATTAGAGCAAAAGTAATGATAAATTAGCTGGTGAAGTTGGCCTTGTTGCGTTTAAGACAGGCACATTTCTTTCCCTAAAACAAACTTAATCCGGAGTGAACCTAAAGTGAGATATGATTGCTGCCCAATAGTATTTTTAGTGATTTACCAATGAAGGAACTACACAACATAATTGTGCCACATGATTCAGGGTCAGTGGCGTTGCATCCGAACTCAGAGTTTCTGGTTTTGGACCATAAATGATAGTGTTTGAAACAAACATTTTTACGACGTCTGGAGGTTCAGTGTCTTTCGCAAACAGCATAGACTGAATTGATGCCTGTGCGAGATTCCTTCCATGAAACCCCATAAACACCAGAATGTTTTTAAGAGTGGAGGAGAAAGCAAAACACTCCTGCATGGTGTTTTTTTGGCAGCACACAGCTCTACCCGTGCACATTTCAAACCCTCTATTTCCTTTGCACCCACTCTAACCTTGGACACCGTAGCTCTGGCCACCGCAAAAAGGGTGTGTTTTACACATAATACTTCTATTTCTGCTTCTTAAACTGCTTGTCCATTTTGGTCAGGTTGTTGAGAGACGTGCTGCTTCTTGTAACACCCAGTGTTCCTCACATGCTGCCATACACACATCTCTCTGCATCCTACTCAAGAACATCTGGTTCCTCTTTGCGTTGCTTCTTTCTTTCCAAACAGATGCACAACTGTATAGATAGACATACAAGGTGAACCTACTAACAAAAATATATCAAAGTAAATTATTCTTCGTAGTCTCAGCAGATAATTTTAGAGTGCGGCTTGTGGAGTCAGCCAGAGGCAGCTCTCCATCTGCGCTGTCCCACCTCATTGCAACAACCACAGGCCATCTCCAAATGGAAGTACCCTCAGATGGCAATCCCCAGCAGTTTACTTCAGCCAGCTTCCTCTCTTTTCTTTCCCTTGGGCCCCTCACCTAACCACTGTCACGCTCTTTCCCCCAAGCGAGATCAAACAGCTGCCTCCCTGCCAAAGGACCATCCCTATCCCTCATTCCACACCCAAACTATATTCAGCACTCTCATATTGAGGCTTGCATGGTAGAGTAGCCTTTGTAAACTTTGGCTGCCAAGCAGGCAACTGGTAGCCATCATGTGGAGAGAGATTTTTTATTTAATCTATTTTAGCCTCTGTTTAGGACCATGTACTGCACTGAAGTATGTGTGAATTTTATGCACTTTTTAAACACATATACTGACTACAAGCTGGTTAAATTGATATGATCGATGGCAAATTTGTGAGAGAATCTCAACTTCAAGGGTAGACTAAATTAGCAATGGTTGGTCTTACATAATAATAATTACTATTATTGCCTAAGAGTTAAGACTGTGTTGAAGAATAAAGGTGGTCATACCATATATTGACTTTTAAGCTTGTTAGAAATGTTCAAACTCTGTTTTTCCCTTATAAACTGTATATCCATGTATGTTTGCACATGTCTGCTGCACCTATTTCCCATTTTCTCAGCAAAATATAGAGAAATGAGGGGCGGCTTTTGCACAGTGCTGCATGTAGTTAATACTGTGCACAGGATACCAATTTATGGCGATACATTTAACAAAATGACCACAAATGAATAGAAATACATCATTATGTACATTATATATAATTATATAAGTTACATTACACTGAGGACAGTAAGTCCAACAGTAATGTTGGTAGGAAGATCCATTTTATAGTACCTGATACTTCCACTTCACATTTGTCAGCCAAAATTTTGCTTACAAAACCCATATGAGTGCTTAAAATTAAAACGTCTTGTTACTAACAAATAATGGCATGGTAGTCCAGTGCTTGGTTTGAACCTGCCAGGTGATTAGAGCCTCGCTGTGGATTGTTCATCTTTTCCCTGCGTCTCTGTGGGCATACCTGTCCACGGTACGCCCCGCCTTTCTGTGGTAGTCAGCTGGAATAAGCTTCCATTAAGTAGATGAATGCATGTTGCTGACTTAAGATGCTTCATCTTAGGTAACTTTAGTATTAATAATATTTATATTATATTACTTTTGTATTTTTTCACAATAACTTAATCTTGTGTTGAACCTGTCACAGATCACAATTATAACTTGATTTCTTGTTTTAATTTATGAATCTGCAGGAAAACTAAATTGGATTAGGGTTTTATTTTTTTACAGAACTCAACCAGTGCTCACAAAATACTCAAAGTGAGTTGACTCTTATGACTGTGTGTCTTCTTAAGCAGTTTTTGTGTTGTTTTATGTGCCTCCAACTGAGTTCTTTTTTAGTTTTCAAATTAAATGAGCTGCTAAATAAAAAAAAAAAACTTCTGATACAGAACATTCATTAAGACATCATTTATTTTGGTCATTATGGTTTACATGACACAATGTATGTCCAGGGATACAACGATGTTGCTGTTAAAACAGTTTGTGTTTCCATGACAGCATTTTGGTGACTTATTTCGTCATAACGGTCAATTTGACCATTACCATTTCACAATATATTCAAGTCACATTTAGTACAACAGGTTGCACAGAAAAAAGTATTAGGGTACTTTTAATAAGATTATTGGTAACCCAAACAAAAAAACTGAAAGAAAAAAAAAACAAGGTTGTATAAAAACAAACAAAAGCAGACAAACACTAAATTAAGAGTCACCAGTTGAAGTCAGTAAAAGGAACAGAATGGAAAAGAAAAAGTCAGGACATAACACAGTTTAACATCTCAATTTCACATGCTGTCTCCATTAAAATCTCACTGGTAACATTGTGGATTGCTTACCCCACCCCTGATCACCTGTGTTCATAAATTAGTTTTCCTTCTTCTAAGCACCTATTTCTTGTAGTTTTCAAGTCGAGATGCAACTATTTCTCAAAAATGGTGAACTGCCTGTCTGTTAGGTTGAGGAAAAACGAACAGGGAGTTTAGTTTGAGAAATGGCAAATTTAGTTGGTTGGCTTTCGGAAACTACTGAATCAACGTATCACGTTGAAGCGATGAGGAACCCAGAGAAAGAGCAGTGGACATTCTCTGCAGCAAAGACGCCATTGGCCTCATCGTCAGGGATCTGGACGTAAACTGTATCCTGCTCATCGAGCG